AAAAAAAAGAACTTGACTGACACCCACAAGTATATGTCCCCCAGGGAGCTAATAAGCTGAACACTCATCTGTTGAAAGCCAGTTCATCAAGAGCCAATTCATAACAGTGTTTCAAGGAACGTTCCATTAGTCTCTGCACTGTACCCTGTTGAGAAGAGAGTGGGCTGACAACATGGCCAAGGCTACTGTCCACAGAAAGGGGGAGAGGCAGGGTGTGTACCCTGAACGTAGATTCCCCATGATTATCTTTCCATTACCATGCAAGATCCAGCCACAAGAACATTCAAGATATTAGCTATGTATGTTTTCATGAGTATATTCTTCATGAATATGAAGTGAATTAATAGAATCTTCATTAATATATTTATAAGAATGTATGAATATATTTGTAAATATATTCTTGAATAAATTAATGAATTAAGAAGATATTAATTCATAAAGATATTCTCTCAGTCCCCCCTTCCCTTTCCCCCAGCCTCTTTACCCTCTGGCAGCAGTGTCCTGGCTGTGACACAGCTGACTCTTCTCATTGTCCCTCTTTTAGTCAAGTACCCCCTCTCTGTCCAGCTTCTCCAGTCACAAAGGCAAATGGACCACTCTGAAAAATGCTCTTACAAAGACAAAATGATGACCAGTCAATCAAAATGCCTCCTAAATCTTCTAAAGTTGATAAGGCTGCCTTCTCCAATACAAATTGTCCTAAACTATATTGTTGTTGCAAAAGATTATACTCTTAACTATATCTGAGGATTGGTTTTTTGGCAAATTAAGCTGGAACCCATGGCCTGCCACTTGGATTAGAAATCTGAGATGGAGAAACAGATGTGGGGGTGCTCAAGCAGCAGGGGTATGGCTAGGGAATGCGGCAGGGACAGTGGAGCTCCTCCTGAGCATGTGAGGACCCTAATTGCCATCACACACATCCTTGTAAGAGAGAGACAGAGGGAACTTTTACACACAATGAAGAAGGCCATGTGAAGACAGAACAGAGAAAGATGGGAAGGATGCTCGCCTTGAAGACTGAAGTGATGTGGCTGCAAGCAAAGAAGCCTGGCAGCCACCAAAAGCTGGAAGAGGCCAGGAATGGATCTCACCTAGAGCCTCCAGAAGCAGCATGGCCCTGCTAACACCTTGACTTCAGCCAAGTAAAGCTGATTTCAGACTTCTGACCTCCATAACTGTGACAGAATAAATTTCTGTTGTTTGAGGCCACCAAGTTTGGGGTAATTTGTTATGACAGCTGTAGGAAACTCCTCCAAGGTGTTCCTGGCATCTAGTGGGGACACTGCTCAACATCCTCCAGTGTACAGGACAGCACCCCCAAAACAGAATCATCTGGTCCAAAATGTCAATAGTATTGAGGTTGCAAAAACCTGGGTTAGGATGACACAATTTGGAATTTAGGGGCCACCAAGTTGTGGCTGAACTTAAGAAGCTGAAATTTCAAAGACTGACAATACCAAGTGTTGGCCAGAGTGTGAAGCAACTGGAACACTCGTACACTCCTGGTAGAAACATAAAAAGGTACAACCATATTGGAAAACAGTTTGGCAGTTTCTTTAAAAGTTCAACGTACATTTACCCTATTATTCCACATATGAAAGTGTACAGGGTGGGGCAAAGGTAGGTTTATAGCTGTGAGTATATGAAACACAGAGTTTATTCTTGTATTATTATTTATTAATTATTGTATTATTTTCCATACAAACAACTGTAAACCTACTTTTGCCCAACCCTGTACATTCACAAAAAGACTTGTACCAGAATGTTCATAGCAGCTTTATTCATAACAGCCCCAACTGGCAACAGATGATGGGTAAACAAACTGGTGCAGCCATGCAATAGAATCCTGCTGAGCAAGAAGGAATGAACTGTTCTTACACACAACTTGGATTAATCTCAAAATTATACTGGGTGAAAGAAGCCAGACACAAAAACAACATACTCTATGATTCTATTTATCTGAAATGTCAGAATAGACGAATCAGTAGAAACAGAGCATGGGCTGGAGGAGGGGGATAGTGATGGGGTCTCTTTCTGGAATGATGTTCTAGAACTACATAGAGCTGATTGTTTCACAATATTGTGAATATATTAAGTGCCATTGAATTATACACTTTAAAACAGATAATTTTACATTTTGTGAATTTCATCTCAATTTAAAAATTAAAAAAAGAAAGCCCTCTTGAATGCAAACAGTTTTACCAGTGAGAAATGTTATAGGACTTTTCAGTTTGAAAGTTCAGTTTGTGATGCACCAGAGAAGACATGACAATCACAGGCACCTGGGTGGTGAATACACAGGCATGGAGACAGGGTGACACTTCATTGAGTTGAACACATATGTCTCGTACCCCTTCCTATGTCTGCATCTAGCTTACATAAAGGTTTTTAAAAAGATTTGAAGGAGATATATATATATATTTAAATGCAATGAATTCTTGTGTCACCCTCACTTAGCTTAGGAAGCCACACAGCCGGCTAGGACATGCTGACATGCACTCGGGTCTGCACTTCCTAGCTGTGTAGCTTGCTTGTGCCTCTCTGAAATTCTTTCTCCCCACCTGTAAAGTGGGCACCTGAACGCTGTAGGTAAACAATGCTATGTGCTCCCTGTAGTCACTGTTATTGCATCAAGTCATCTTCAGCCAGTCCTCCATTTCTCTTGGTAAATCTGAGTCCTACAGACCTGCTTTTTTGCTTCTAAAGTATGTTAATCAGGGTAGGCTAACTGCTGTAGCCAACAACCAGAAAATATCAGTAGCTGAACACAGTTTATTTCACACTCCTGTCACATTCCAATGGTGGTGGTGGGGGCTGTCTCAGCAGTGCAAGCTTGTGGAATTCACACAGAGTCTGGGGGGGCAGGTAGGTCATCCTACTCCCCTGCACAGCTGGCAGATTCTGATTTGCTTAAGAGGTTAAGAGTTCACCTGAGCACAACAGTCCCATTGGTCTGGGCAATACGGAAACGTATGGGGGTATGTATAACTGCCACCAAGCTCTGGTCTTGCTTTATATAAATCCAACCTTGGAAATGTTATTTTGACAAAGGGGCCTTTAAGAGTGTCAAGATTTTAGATTGTGTTGCCATGTCTTATGAAAATCACCTCTAAAAGAAACTTGTAATTCTGATTAGTTATCTTACTTGACAGTGGGTTGCCCCATTGTATTCTTTGACTGCCCTTTATGGAATTGCCAATTAGTGTAAATGCAAGTAAGATTTCCCCATGAAAACAGACTAAATGGATTAAATGGACTTGCTTTCATGAAAATGTTGAGAATCTTGCCTCATCTAAGGGAATCCCTCACTCCCTTTATCCTACTTATTTAACAAATATTTACTGAGTACCTGCTAAATGGCTAGCACAGTTTTAGGCATGAGGAATATAGAAGTGGACAAGATAAAGCCCCGTTGTCAGTGTAGTGGAGAGAAAGGATTAGCATTAATGAAGACTGCAGGGATCAGGGGAGGGAGTGTGGCACCTTTGAGGGCAAGTGGGACCCTGAGAAGTGACCAGATAGGAATGGAGGGGTCCTTTGAGTTTGCCTTTTGGAGGGTATGGGCCAGGTCTTTTCTTAGATGAAAATAAAATCAACCCACGACGCAGTGGGGAGAAAACATTCCCCAGAAGGCAGTCATTTTCAGAATAAATGTCCCACATGTGACATTGTGCCCCAGTTCAGCCATGAGCACAAGTGAAGGGATCAGAGCTGTCAAGGCAACTCCAGCTCTGCCTATACACCATTCCAGCAGATGGGATGGCAAAACGCCTCCTAACTGATGATGGGTTTCTGCTGGGCTCACCATCATGTCAGCTGTCTCCTGCCATTCCAGTTAGAGCTGCAGGTGCAGGACTGCCTGGTGGGGCCTGGGGCTGGAGCTTCATTTGCCAGCAGAGGGTCAGGCTGGTGTGCAACCATGGACAGTGGATGAGCCCTCTTCACTGCGGGGGCCCAGTCGCTAAGAGGAACGCTGAGCTTCTCCTTCCCCTCTCCCCAGCTCCCCTTCAGCCTCCTACAGACAGTCCTGGGGGCTGTCCCCAGAGCCAAGGTGTCAGAAGGGGTTCCACCTCACCTGCATTTTTCCTCCTGAAGGGACTCCAGCGACACATGCAGGTCTGTCAGATACCTCCCCTTTAGGCACTGATAGGACACCTGGAGACATAGGTGGAACTTCTCGATGTCTTTGAGCTCTTCCCTCACCTTCTGCAATAGCAAGTTTCCCTTTATCTCTGAGGACGCCCCCTGCTGTAAGGTCAGAAAATGACTCTCTGATGGGAAGTGTCTGTCAAACAGGTTGGTGGATAAGCAATCTTTCCCACCTGGCTTGGGAGGCTCTAAAAATGGGGCCTTCTCACTGAGCTGCTGGCAATTGTTCAAGCTGCTTTCTTCCTTCAGTACTAAGCCCTTGGGCTGGCAGCCTTCTTCCAGCTCCTGCAGCTGCTGGTGACATTGGCGGAGCCTTCGCTCAATCTGGGCAATGGTGGCAGAGGCACGCTGGTTCACCTTCTCAAAGGCCTGCCGGATGTGAAAGGCCTGGTGTCGTTCGGCTTTGGACACCAGCCTGAGGTAGCCCACAGTGTTCTCGTCCCGACTGGCCTTCTCCACTCTCAGCTGCTCTGAGAGGTAGAGGATACGGTGCTTGATGCTCTCCTGTAAGTTCTGGGCCATCTCCCCATCCAAGAGGCTGGAGTGGCCACTGGCGCACCCCTCACTGGAGGACAAGGACCTGCACGAGGGAATGTTGGAGGGGAGGGTTGCACTTGGGCTCTTGGTGTATTCCGCCTGCATTGGGAAACAAAACAAAAAACAAGTACTTTTCTGTAAGCTACAAATAGTAGGAGAATTGAACACATTATTGCATCACTCTATAAAAATACTTATATGTATGTACAGATACTTATATATGCAAGATTCATGTATTCGAGGTGGGCCCAACACAGATCAGAGAAGTCAGTTTCATCTTCTGGACCCCTCCTTTTCAGCACTCGACTTCTTGCTTTATGGGTGTATCTCACTATAACCCCAGATGGCTAGAAAGCCCCTCCACACCTACCCTTTCTGTTCTTGGGCTTCCTCCCTTCCAAAAATTACAAGCTGTGCATCTCATTTTATTAAAAACTGTTCTTGTAAAGTATGGAATAAACTCATTCCCATTAAGCCATATACCTTGCTGTATTGCTACTGCTGGGCAGACAGAAGAGATAAGCAGAGAGTTTTGCACTTAGCAGGTTTGTTCCTTTATTCAGTCATTCATTCAACACATATTTCTTGATTGCCTACCATATGTTACAGAAGCCAGACACATTTTTTGCTCTCATAGAGCTCATAGTATAGGATGAAAAATTCTATTGTGACACAAATGAATGGGTCTCTCACATGGTGAAAGATAACAGGAAAAGCACTGCCTTTGAGACAGAGCTCAGTTCAAGTCTTAACTCTACCAGTCTGGGGTCTTGGGAAAGCTAATAAACCACTCAGAGAGTCAATTTTCTCATGTCTAAAATAAAGATGGCCATAGCAGCGTAGCTGGAACAGAGTGGACCAGGGCAGAGTGAATGATGTTGAACTAGGAGAGGTCAATGGCGTCTGAACAGGAAGAGCCACTGTTCTGTTCTACTTTTTAACCATAAGTGCCTTCATGACTGAAATGCTCTCCCAGTACAAAGTCAGGAGTGATTATATTGTGATAGATAGCTAGGTTCTGTGTATTTTATTATATGCAAATTATACCTCAATTAAGAAACACACAATGTGCTACCACAATGGACCTAGCAGGTTGGCAGAACTTAGACTAACAATAATAAATGTTGGCCAAGATATGGAGCAATGGGAACTCTCAATCCTGGTGGGAGAGTAATTGGTATGAGCACTTTGGAAAAGCATTTGGTAATACTGTAAAGTTGAAGGCATGTATACCAAATGGCCCAGCAATTACATTCCTAGGTATGTCCTTGAGAGACAGGGACATTAATGTTCCCAATAACCAAATGCTAGAAACAATCTACCTGCTCATTAATAGTAGCATGTGTAAGCAAACTGTAATATATTCAATAATATACTACTATACAACAATGGAAATGAACAACCCTGAAAACATGAATGAATAAGCATAATGTTGAATAAAAGAAGCGAAACAAAAGATAATTTATACTATATATGATTCCATTCGTATAAAGTTCAAGAGCTGACAAAACAAAATGATGTTTTTAAGGATGCATACAAAAGCAATACAGCTACAAAGAAAAGCATATGTGTTGGTAGCATAAACATCAGGACATGGTTCCCACTAGGGTAAAAGAAGGGGATGGGGATTGGGAGAGACACATGGAGGCCAGGGTGCTTGACTTGGGTTGTAGTTAAATGTGTGTTCACCTTGTTATTTCCTAAACTGTATGTTGATGTTTTCTGTACCTTTATGTATATACGCCAGATTTCACAATTTTTAAAAGTTTTAAAATGTTCAATAGATGGATTTAATAGCAGATTAGAAATGGCTGGAGACAAATATAAGTAAATTGTAGAATAGATAAAGAAAGCATTAGAATGCAGCACAAAGGCACAAAGAAATAGAAAATTTGAAAAAATTTGAAAAACAGAAGACATGGAAAATAGAAAGTCTTTTAAAAAAATCTAACTGCCATGCCACAGGGAGAAGATAGAATGAGGCAGTGGCAAGATTTTAAGAGACAGTCACTAAGAACTTTCCAGAACTGATGAAAGACATAAATCCACAAATTCAAGAAGCCCAATAAACCCCAAGCAGGAAGAACAGAAATAGATCTACACCTGGATATAAGACCTTAAAAGCAGCCAAATTAAAAAGCTGATTACCACTTCGGATGGTGAACACACAATACAATATAAAGATGATGTATTATAGAATTGTACACCTGAAACCTATATAATTTTATTAACCATCACCCCAATAAATTGAATAAATTGAATAAAAGGGGGGGCTCATTACCTTTAAAACCATGACTTTTAGACTGAAAGCTGACTTCTCAATGGCACCAATGAAATCCAGAAGAGAGTTGAATAATATCTTCGATATCCTGAAAGAATAACCGTTGGAGAGGAAAAAAACAGATCACATTCAAATAATCAGAAGTCAGGATGTCTTCAAACTTTTTAGCAAAGCACCAGGAACTACTAAACAATGAACTAATGTCTTCCAAATTTGAGGAGGAAATGATTTTCCAACCTAGAATTTTACACCCAAACTGTCAATTATGAGCTTAGACTAAAGACATTTTCCAACATGGAGGTACTCATATAGTTTACTTCTTCTGAATTCTTTCTCTGGAAGCTACCAGAGAAGGTGTTCCACCAAAACCAGAGAAGAACCTCAGAAAAAAGTAGAGATGGAATCTATGAAATAGGGGCCCCAAGCCAAAAGATAGGCAAATGTAATCTCCAGGATGATGGTGCAGGAGCCTAGGCTGATGGCTGGACAGCAGTCCTGGAGGGCAACTCAAAAGGCTCTAGCAGCAAGCACTCCAAGGGAATGAAATGAATGAAATGCCTGACATATTTGAACAGCTGGAGAGGAGATATAGACAGCTGGGAGAAGTGCTGACCTATATAGCAGAGAACAAGCAACACAGGGATTGGGGGAGACAAGTGTTAACTCTAAGGAAAACAAAACACTGGAAGAGAAAGGAAAAGTCATCAGAGTAACGACTCAGTTGTGACCAGTGTTTTCATGAACTTGACAATGTAAACATCAAGGAATGATCTAACCCAAACCATTGAATACCATACTAGAAGATGGTGAGGGGTGGGGAGTGAACAAGCTAATCATTGTCCTTTATAGTGAGAAGTCATTCAATAATTTCTAAAATATAAAAAATAAAGAAATAGCACTATAAGCTGTTTATTTAAAGAACTAAATAAACAGCATTTAGAGGTAAATGCCAAAAGAAACAGCTAAAAGGATAGAAAGTGGTTGATTCTGGAGAGTGGACAATTGAGTGGGTGTAACCCAGGGATTGCTATTTTTTTAAAAAATATGCCTTTATTGATTTCAGAGAGAGGAAAGGAAAGGGAGAGAGAGAGAGAGAGAGAGAGAGAGAAACATCAATGATGAGAGAGTCATTGATCGGCTGCCTCCTGCACACCCCCAACTGGGGATCGAGGCCACAACCCAGGCATGTGTCCTGACCAGGAATTGAACCATGATCTCCTGGATCATAGGTCGATGCTCAACTCCTGAGCTACACCAGCCAGGAGGGATTGCTATTTTTTGTCATAAATCTCGTAGAACAATTTAACTATTTGAACCAGGGTTTGGCAAATTGTGGCCTGGTTTTGTATAGGTGTGAGCTAAGAATGATTTTTACATTTTTAAATGGTTGAAAAATCAGAAAAAGAATATTTTTGGCATGTGAAAATTATACGAGATTCAAATTTCAATGTCCATAAGCAAAGTGTAATTGGCACATAGCAATTCTTGTTCATTTACATATTGTCCATAGTTGTGTTTGTGTCAGCACAATGGCAGAGTTGAGTACCTGCAACAGAGATCCTGGGGCCTCAAATATTTACTGTCTGGCTCTGAATAGAAAAAGTTTGCTGGGGGGGAAGTGAGGGACATCTTTAATACTGTCAACAATAAAAATATATATATTTTAAAAGTTTGCTGGCCCCTGCTTTAAACTATCTTCATATATACCATTGATAAATAAAAGAACTAAATAACTGTTTAAAAGGAAATAGGAAATAAGGAAAATTAAAATTTGCTAATGACTTGTTCTATTGGGAAATTTTATGGATATCACATAAAACTCAAAATTGAGAGAAAAATGTTGGTGAAAACAATTAAAGGGAACCACTAGGAAAAATCCAGGTACATAATATCCAAATAACCAAGGTGAGACATAAAATGGAACTTGATTAATCCACAAAATGTAGAAAAGGAAGAAGAAAAAGAAAAAGATCTCTGGTTAAATATAAAATATAAAATAGGATGTCAATAAGATGTGATTATTAATGACTATATACCATGTACTTGAGAAGAAGACTCAATACTGTAAATATGTTAGCCCCCTACATATTAACCTATAAATTCAATGAAATCCTAATTAAAAATCCAATGGGAGTGGGAGGGAAGATGGCAGCACTGTGAGAAGCAGCAGAGAGCCCTTGCTCCCAGCCACGGACTTGATTTACCACTAAAATACTGCATAACCAGCTTGGAAAAATAAGAGAAATATACCTGAGTGGACATATTGTGAGTAGGGAGCACTGAAGAAACATCATAGAGTCTGGTAAGGGGGGGGCGTAGAAAGAGGGAGTCCCCCCTGAAGCATGTGCTGGACCCTGAGCCCCAAGGCTTAGAGGCTGCACAACTTGTTTCCTTGGGAGTGTGGACCCACATCCAAAAGTGGGGATCTCAAACCCCGAGAGGAGGAGAAGGGAAAGAGAGCCCGTGCTGGGCAGGCAGAGGGACCCAGGGGCACAGTGTGCCTGCGAGGAGGGGGCTGCGCTTTCCTAGTGAAACAATGCTTCTAATGGTGGCTGGGACTGGAGTCTTTCACACCAGGCTCTGACCATAAGAAAGGCTGTCCCACAGTGTGTGGCTTCCCAATATAAAGGGGCCAGAAGGCTGCACTGGGCATCCACCTACAAGGACCTTCTGCTTTCCTGTAAGGCAATGTGTTGAGCCCCAGAAAGTATTTGAACTGTGTGGCGTGGGGGAGTGGAAAAAAGCCCTCTGCCAGAGAGGGACTGGAGCTGGGGGGTAAGGGGTTGGGACTCCAGGCACCAGAGAGAGATTGGAGCCACGAGTGGGGCGGACTGAGTCTCCAGACTCCGGAGCTGCCGGAGCTGCCGGTGCAGTGAATCAGGGATTTTTGACCTGTCCTGAGGGGAGCCAGGATAGTACACAAGGAGCTGCCCCAGCTTTACTGAGATCAACTATGCAGGGGACCTGTGTGCGGCTGACTTCATGACCCCTCCTGCTTGGTACCAAGGAGTGGGGGCAACGGGACCTTGAAGGATCAGTTATCTGCCTGTGTGCTGCTTTGTGCATTTTTGAATTTTTGATAGCAGAATGGTCGTGCACCTTCCTGGCTTGCACTGGGGAGACAGACCAGCGAAAGCTGGGATTTGTTTCTGCATAGTGGAGAGTTTGAAATACGAGCCCTGTGAGTTTAGCCAAACAGATCCAGGAAAGGAGGGGCAGAGCACAACTACCTCTCCTGCAAGTTAGGAGCACCACCCACAACAGGAAAAGGGCTGGTTCAGTTCACATAAACCCCAGATATCCCCAGCAAGGCACAGTCCTGAGGGGGAAAGGAAAACAGCTCACAGGAGGACATTACAAGAATAAGACTCTCAGAGACTATTGTTTGGGAACTGGAGGAAAAGCTTAAAACCCCTGTTAGGGGCTGGGCAGGCAAAGTGCTCACCAGAATTTCTTTTTAATAGAACCCACTGAGCCCAGGCTGCTGAAGCTGCCCATACAGAAAAGGCAACAGGCTGAAATCAATCTGAAACTGCAGCAGGCCAGAGCCTGGGGAACTAGAATCAGAGGACAGGGTGGAGACTGAGGAGCTGGCTGTGGAGCAGAGACTAACTCCCTCACAGTGAGTGCCTGACAGCAAAACCTCTAAGTAAGGGGAGCAATATCCTGAGCTACACTAGTCATCCTGCACCCTAAAGACTCTTCAGAAGACTCTGGAGTAAAACCAGGCAACTACAAGGGGGAAGCAAAATAGCTGACAAGTGGAGGTGGTCGACAGAGAGCCTCAGACCAGCCAACTACCTAAGGACACCAGAGCCAAACCTAGACAGCTCCTGACATTGGCTGACACAAGTACCTCCCAGGAGAACTGAAATCAACATACAAAACAGTGAGCCTCAGATAATATAAGCAGCCCAGATGAAACTCACCTGACTGATTTCTTTTTTTTTTTTTAAAGAGAGAAAAGAAAAAATTTTCTTTTTAAATTTTTAAATTTTTAAATTAAATTTTTAAAATTTGTTTTGCTTTGCTTTTTTTATTTGCTTTGTTTTGCTTTGTTGTTGGTTTTTTTGTCCTATTATCAAGATTTTCTTGATATTCTCTGCTTAATTGCTGGGATATTATCATTATAACAAAAAGTTATTGCTTTTCTCTATTGTTTCCCCCATATCTCTTATTGGACTCCCTCCCTACCCTTGCTTTATCTCTCTCTCTCTCTTCTTGTTCCATTGGCATAACCTATTTTTTCTCTTTCTTTTTTTCCCTCTCCTTTTATTCTGTCTTCCTGTCTTTTTGTTTGCTTCTTTGTTTCTGTTTGTCTCTTTATTTTATTTTTTTAATTTTTCAACTATTTTCCTATTCCTACAATTTACCCTTAATTTTTTGCTCACACTTTTTTCCAAATCTTTTCTCTGCCCCTTTTGTCTCCCAGTAGCTTCTCTATTTTTTACTTTATTTTATTATTTTTTTTAAATTTTTCTTTACTATTAGCAATAATATCCTTTTCCCTCTTTCCTCTACTTTTTTTTTTTTTTAGAGGGTTTTTTGTTTGTTTTGCTTTAGTATTTGTGTTATCACTTCACTCTCCCAATTCTACTTTCTCTTGGGATGTTTTCATGGTAATTGTCAGGATATTTTATAAGATACTGCTTGTTTCCTGGCAGTTTGGTTGTGTTTTGATTTGTCTTGCCAGCATGTGTACAACAGTTCACATGACGTGGTTGGGGCTGAGCCACACAGCTAGCCAACCTGAGAGAAGAGTCCTCCAAAGAACAGGTCAACAACAATCTAGACTCAGTCACAACAGGAGAGCCCAAAGAACAGACAAAAGGGACACCCACAAAAGGGACATGCCTAGAGCAAATAGCTCAGAAGTATAAGGAAAACACACCTGTGGGATCCACTGTACATACACTACAAAATCTCCCCCCACAAGACTGGGAAACAGCAAATATATCTAATATACAGATACAAACACTAAGAGCCACTAAAATGGGGAGACAAACAAACAA